GTGGCCTCTCTCATTACCTGCGTCCCGTGAGCTCGTCGCATTTCACCCGGCGTGACCTCCATCTGCGTTTTTTTTTTTTTTTTTTGCCGCCGCTTTGACCGCCCTGCTTGTCCGCTGTCACTGTTACGCTGTCCGCTTTGCTACCCGCTGTACAAAAAAGATCTCTCGCTTGTTTTGTTCCCATGTTATTCCAAGTCGTATGTCTGTTTCGTATTTTATTATTATTATTATTATTATTTATATACAGTTGAACCTCCCAAGTTGAATAAAATTCATTCCGGAATGTTGGTGAACACATTTTCTTGATCGAAAATAATGGAGATACATTGAACCCATGTTCATCGCAAATGGAACCTTCTAGACCAGGGGTGTCCAACCCCGGTCCCAGCGGGGCTCTATCCAGCTTCACACACATGTCTACCCTCCTCCAGCACAACTGATTCAAATGATCAGAATCGTGATCGGGGATCTCAGAGGATGCCGATGAGCCGATCATTTGAATCAGTTGCGTTGGAGGAGGCAGACAAATAAGACAAGTCGGACAGGGGCCCTGGAGGACCGGGTTTGGGCACTCTTGGTATAGAGTCTATAAAGTATCGTAAAGATCCACCCGCAATTGGTGAAAACCCACAAAATAGAGAGACCATATAAATTTTACCATCCCATCGCCCCTCCAACAAGCTTGAAACGCCTTCAAACTTATTACAGCACACACACACACACACACACACACACACACACACACACACACACACACACACACACACACACACACACACACTTTTCAGGGTATTCCTTCGTGATGAGAGACGATCATACAACGTGACTTTGAGGAAAGGAAAAGAAGACGCTCTCGCGCCCACAGTTCTCAAAATACGAAGCGACGCACGCGTGCTTGCTTCAAGCTAATTATACGGACTCAGGACAATACTTTCAAGCCGAGCTAATTTTCAATTTAACATTCACATTTCTTGAGATGGTGAATTCAGGATTTGATGAGCTGTAATGTATAATTAGCAAAATTATAACTAATAAAATCCTAAAATAAAGTCTTGTGTGGAGCCCCATCCGTTGTGTTACGAGATTGACTTTTCTAATTGAACGAATGATTTTATTAAACAATATTCCCCCAAATTTTTTTGCTCATTCACCTTCTCTTGACACCCCTTGATGAGGTTACTCCCATCTTTTGGAATAAACATAAAACAATGCCAATGAAACACCCAAAATGTGCAGAATGAATTGACGTCGGCATAAGCTAAATGCTATTTTTTTCGTGATTTTTAGAGAACGTTTTGATGCAATTTCCAAATTGCACGACTTACTATGGAGGTTCTGCTGTATGGAAACTATTTTGCAACCCAATAATGCACTAGAAGCTAACGTCGTGGGAATTTAGTCGGATTTACAAAAGCTAATGCATTATGTGAAAACCAAAACTGTTACCCCTTTGTGTGTGTTTGAAATTTCTTTATTATTATTATTATTTTTTTGCACTTCTGTTGTCGTGGGATAACGTGCCCATTTGCAAAGTGTTTCTTAAGAACTGCAATTATTAAATCTGACTTTCTCCTTTCGTGGCAGAGTGTAAGCTGTCCCGGCCCGGCCCCCCCGCTACTATCGTGACCATCGACGAGGAGAGTCCCAACGGTACGTAACAAACAGCCACATATCCACCTGGCGATAGAGTTGGGTTCATATGGGTCTGGTTTGCTATGCCTTATCCTGATTGCCGGATTGCGTGTCCACCGTGGTTGGCTAAGCGCTTACGTAAGAGAAATGTCTGTTCCCATGATACAAAAGTGAACAGAACCGTACCCCAATGAAAGAGTGCTGAATCATGTGATGTGCCGATATTATTTTTGTTCACCTGGAGTGGCCATCCTCATGTTTTTCATTTTAGTGTCTGTGACTTTGAGTGTTTTGGGCTTTAAAAGCCCTCGAGTGACGCGTGCGTCAGTGAATGTCAGTGTCGCTGGCTATTAATTGGCTAATCGTTAGCAAGTCTGTGTGGGTGATCGGGTGGCAGTTGTGGCGCTATACAAGCTAGCGCATCAATGTTCTGAATATAAGATTAGCTAATAAATTAGCTCACGATATGCTGTTATCTGTTTAGCTGCTTGGTCGAAGTGACTTTGTTGCTCAGTGTTTGTGTGGGTCTTTCCTTTTTTTTTTTACACAGCGTCATATGTGTGCGACACAAGAATATTTCGATGCTTAGGGGCAGGCACACACACTGTCATCAGCCATAACCTATTCTTTGGAAGGCGAGCTGTCTGCGTGCAGCTGATGAATGTGTCACAGGGTGATGGATCACGTGCGCCTGAGGAGGAGGAGCTCCGTGTTCATGGCAAATGCCGATGTCTAAACGGCGCAGGCGTGTCTGTGTCCCCTGGAGGTATTACCATTAACGGAGCATAATGATTGGGGTGGGTTGAGTCAGACAGGCTTCTTAACGCTGTTAGAATGACAAGGAGAACGACAAGAAACTAAGCATTCACTTTACATATACTGGTCAGGTCAAATCTGACCCGTTCTAACATTTGGCATTCATAAAAATACCCGAAATGTCATTCACTGTGAAATGTGGGCCAAAATTCACAGAAAAAGAAAATATGTCTTGCATAGGTGCTGTAAAGTTTGTCTACAATGAGGCCGTCCGAAAATGGATTCTACAATCACAAGTGTATGTTAAATCAAGACGAATGGTCGAAATCGTGAAACAGCATGTGACAAATGTCGGTGAGAAGTGTTCAAAGGTGGGCTTGAAACAGTCCCGGGAACTGTCTGCGTTCCCACCACATTTGCATAGGTTCACAGACACATGCATCTGTTGGTTTCATTCGGGTCATGGGGTAATTTCAAAACAGTCAAAGCACCCCCACCCAAAAAAAAAAAAAAAAAATATATATAGATATATATATGCGCGTATTTTTATGAGACACTGGTGATAGTGTTCATTTGAGGACTTCGAACAGTCCTCAGAACCGAGAACCGTGTGTCCACTGTGATTTTAATCCGAAAATGAGTGGCGTAAACCATAAAAACTACATGTTCTTCTTTCCACGTAACTTTGAGTCAGCTTTAATCATCCATATATTTCTGAAAAGATCTGCACTTGATAATTTCATCCGGGCAATTATCATAAGGGTCTAAACTGAGCCGCAAGGTTCTATTTGAGCATGAAAACGTAACCGTCTGAAAGGGTCAGGCATGATGGCAATATACCTTTACGATTGCAGGCGTGTACGGCTGTAATTTGGAGTTTGGATCAGTGCTCGGGCCTTAAGAGGCCAGACGAGCCCACGCCCAAAAGCCTCGCGCTGACGCAACGTGGGTGCGTGCATGTCCGTGTGGGCTTGGCGCTGCTCATCTCCCGCTCATAAAGTCCTCTTTTACCTGGGAGAAGATTCCCTCCAGGCTGCGGCGTCCCTTTATATTCATCTCCGACTGTGATGAAATGACCCGCCGTTCGTCCTCGCCGTAATGGAATGTAAAACAGACCAAGCCGCCGCTATTGACCAAAAGTAATTATCCGTCTAAATGTCTTTCACCTCGTCATTGCCATCCAACCGAATGCGGAGAAGTGGTGCACAATAAGAGGGCGTCCTTGTCCGGATCTTTCCTAATCACTGATTTTAGTATGTCCATAAAAAGGAAAGCAAACACAATCACCTGAGTGTAATTATTGTAATCCCTCTGGCGGGATGCCGTTGGTTTTGAATTTGCTCACTTGGATTGTTTTTCACTTTTCCGCCGGTGCAAAACTCAAGACGCAATTTGATTCAATCGCGTGGGAGTAATTGTCGATAGCTCTTGAACCAATTGCCTCCAAATGGAGAGCGCTACTTTGTCGAAACCCGTGGAGTCAATTTCAACTAATTTGCTGTTCCAACGCGATGTCATTTCATGGAATTTGAACTCCCGGTTGAAATGTGCCGTCAAACTAAATATCAAACAAAGAGAAGTAAGGCACTTGTGTATTTAAAACAACCAAATAGCTTCATGCTAACACATGGTAAGAAACAACCTAGACAAGGTTGACGAGTCGCATTTAAGTTGGCAGTGTTAGAACATTTTCAGGAAGGGTTATTTGAACACAAATGATGCAGCAGTATATGTAGACAGACATAACGATGCTCACAGGCACACGGTGTATTCTTTATCCTCGATGAAAAGTGAATATTATTACAGAGTCTCTCACAATAACTCTTTGTCAACATGACTGTGTTGTCGTGCGGCCTATTTTATGATGCGAGCCCATTTTTGAAAGCCCTGTCGGGTCTCATGCAAATGAGCCACTGCTCACCACGCCCCTTTTCACTTTTTGCAGTGTTGCTTTTGTTAAGGTGTTAACTAGTCACCTAGCGTCCTATTGAGCAAAATGCCAAGTGTCCGGCCGGGATCCCGCACAAGAACAGTCAAATCAGTAATTTGTATTTTCATTCGCAGCGGCGCAACTTCATCAACAAGTAGATACGTCGACAAGCCCGTAACAGTCGACGATGACTCGGATAATATTTACATTTTGACTTCAACATCGTATTTTGGAAAGTATAGCCTGGGGTCCGTCACTTTAAAGTGGAGGATCTTCACCCAGCCAAGCGGCAAAGTCATGGGTGAAGCGGCAGCGTCAGGACGTCGTCATTCGGGAAATTAGCTGCACTGTCACATCACATTCCGACCAGACCAAAAAGATATATATCAGCAATTAAAAAACTAATTAAAAAAAGTGTATTTTACATAAGCCCCCCCCCCCCCCCCACAAACAAAACCTGAGCAACCAATTTTACTCCAGCCAAGCAATTTTTTTTTTTATTTTCTGGTTTCTGGTTCCGTCCTTCAAATAAACAAACATGCACTTTGACTCTCACGGGCTCTTCACAGAATACATTTAACTTTACTCCCAGAAACAAGGCGAGAAGTTTGTTGCTCACTTTCACCTGTCAGAGCACTTTTTTTTTTTTTCCAACGGTTGTCTGTGATGAAATTCTCTTTGATTCTTTAAAAAACCGGCAACAAAGTTTGACACGCGCTTTGAGAAGTAAGACCTTTTCTTGTTCTCCCCACCTTACTTCAATTTTTTTTTTATTGCTTGTTTTGATTCCGAATGGTTTTTTTTTTCCTACTTCAGAGAAAGTCTGAGTAGTCACGAGGGGAATATCGCTGTCGAGGAGTTGAAATGATGCATGCTATGTTTAATTTATCGACGCCGCTGCTTCAGGTAGCACATAAGCACATAAAACCCGCTCGTCTTCTATAGGCTCCCTTTTGTTTATTCGGCCGACTCGATAAATTTGAAGCGGTTAATGAGATTGGAGACTTCACGGATAAGAGCTGTGGATGTCGGCGTTGGGCGGGGGGGGGGGGGGGGGGGTTGTCTGAAATGCATCATCCGGTTGATGCAAAGCGCAAGTTAGTGTCTCCATAAACAAAGACACTTTCTCCCGGCTTTTATCTTGTCTCTGCAAATTTGTGATTTGTACCAACTGTTGCCTGGAGTGTGCACGCTCGCGTATAGGAAACGGATAATAATCGCTTCCAAGGGCCTTTATTCAAAAGTAGTCAATTCAGTGCTTGTTTGATACGCTGCACGTGCCGGGATGGATTCCACCGTGCTGATAAATGAGTGCGCCGCGTAAGGGAACGCCAGTGTTTCCTCAAACATTTATTGAGCTAAGGCAGCCATTTTGCATTTGAAAAATCACATGGGAACGCGACAAAGGAGAATGTCAGCCAAAAAAATGTTCATACACAATCGTGATCATTTTTCTCTCCCGTGGTTCGCCAATTGACGTGCTTCTAAGTGCCAGTTTTCCCTGAGTTGACTTTGCAAGGGCTCGAATAAACAACGGCAAGTTTTGGCGAACACCATACCCGTCTGTTGTCGTGCGATTTGATGTCACATACAAACCTCTAACAGTTGCTCCGTTGTCAATTAGTGAGCCACGTGCAAATAATTGACCTCCAAAAGGCTAAACTGTCAAATGCTGCCCGAATGATACCTGAAGCAAAATGACGAAAAAGTGTTTTGTGACTTTTGGGACACCCTGGGGTATGTTTTTGCGAATATTCCACCAGCATTTCAGATACTCTGCACTTTTGGTGAAAAGCTAAACTGCGTTTTGTTGTCTCGGTGCTTCTACTCTGTGCAATGGATAATGAAGTTTAATCTCGTAAATTGGTTAAAAGGAGACTTTGGAGCCACCTTTTGAGACAGCAGCACTTTGCCATTACTTGAAGCACTTGGGTTCACTTTAAAGTATTCGAACCGATTAATGATGTGGTAGTGAGAACCCTCCTTTGAGGAAAATGTCCTTGTCTATTTTTTTTTTTTTTTGGAGCTTGTCTCCGCACTTGACCCAAAAGCCAATCTCGCAAAGCTCGTCGGGTAGAACGCGAGCTGCCAACCTTGCCGTCACCTCGGCGAGGATGAATGGCGCCACTCACTTCAAACTTCTCTCCGCTATTTTCTTCGGCTTAAGGCTCCATTCTGCGCTCCCCTGCCCTCATTCTAGACCCGCTTCACTTCGGAGAGCCCGGAGTTAAGAGCAGCCTTGTGTCATTAAAACGCCGCGCCGAGCTTGAAAGCCAGATCGTTATTACCTAGCAACCTGTATTAAAAGGACGATATTTTATCCGTAGCAAAA